CCCCAAAACCCCAAAACCCCAAAACCCCAAAACCCCAAAACCCCAAAACAAGGCCTGATTATATATTATCAAATCACAACACGATAAAATGGAAGCTTTTCTGGCAACCCATGCTGCCCAACTTGACGCAGTCAAGTTCCCTCAAGCTCTGAGAGCGAACCTTTATGAGAAACTCACTAAGGAAATTTATGATATTGGCGAGAAAGTACAGATCATGATTGATAAACAGTCAGAGAAAATGATGGTCTCAGCCACTCATGATATTGAACCTGAAGAGGATGTGTGGCTCATTGACCATGCATGGACTTTTAGGTATCACGAAGCGTATCAGTACTTGAAAGAAAATGACAAGCTTAGGTACAGAATGAAGAATATTATGAGTTTTCCTGATAAAATCGACCTAGATACTCCCTTCAACCAGTCAGATAGTAATCCAATTCCTGAAGAATACAAAGAGGAAAAACTTAATTTGCTTGAATATCTTGAAAAGATGCCTGATGGTCCCACAATCTATAACCTCGATGAGTATGGAATAGTCAGTTTAGAAAATATCCCATTCAAGGAAGACGCAACTGAGATTAGTCTCTTTGGAAACAGGATTTCAGATCCTCTGACAGTAACAGAAAATCTTTTGAAATTCCCCAATCTTAAAGCTTTATGGCTAAATGATAACCCTATTGAAGATCATTGTCATAACTTTGATGAGATTGGTGAGTTCCTTCCCAATCTTGAGATTATCAACTCCAAATTCACATCTAGAGCTAATGAATGGGCTATGATGTTTTGCTGAAAATAATCAGGGTCCCAAGACTTTGGAAGAAATTGAGCATCTAGATCTCTCCAGCAGAGAGTTTCTTAAAATAAAAGATATCACTTTTCTAGATAGACTCACAAAACTGCACACTCTTGATATTTCTGATCATTCTAACTTGCTTTCCTCAATCCAAGAGGAATCAAAAGGCACTGAGAAGAAGGAATGAGATGGGAAAGAGTTCGAAGTGACTGGATACTCCCACAGCTTAACTGAATTTCTGTCCAAACTTCCTCAACTAAAACACATAATCTGTGATGATGATCTGGCTGCACACCTTATTGTTCAGTACAACTCAGGAGATCTAGCTGAATATCTCCCAAACCTGACCAAGATTAACAAGGTCTTAGTCCCTGCCACTTTTGAAGATTACAAGGTCGAAATGGAAATCCAGTACATTCTTAAACACTTGTGGAAATACGCTAATTCATACAGGTAAATCATGTCTTACAAATTTAGGCTGTCAACAGGGCCGAATGCAGACCAATCAGAGAGCTATTGGTATATCCAGGATGAGGTAGGTTCTCACCTCCAACACAGTGATGACCCCAACTGTGAAGTTTACTCCTTCATTTTCTGTAAAGATCTCATGGATCTCCAGGATCCTTCTAAAGGAGCTGTGCTTGATCCCTCCAGTAGGATCACCTATTCCATCATGTGGCCTAAGAAGAAGGTAGAGAAGGATGCAATCCTCTCTAGAAACTTCTTGCCAAACATCGATGAGAAAATGTACAGATCTGCTAGACTCTGAGTATGGTTTAACACTCCCAAGAAGTACTACCAAGAGGCTCTTAAACTTCACAATGAAGAAGTAGAATCAATCATAGCAAAATCTGTAGAATTTGATCAAAAGTTCACTGAAAATCAAGAAAAAGATGGCTCTTTTCTGAACGAACTGAGAGATCAAGGTTTTCCAGTCAAAATATATACTGATTTCGTAAATCTAAACCTGAGCTAATACTTTAGCATGACTCTGCAGCAGGAGTTGATACTTATAAAACTTATCTTGGTTGGGATGAAAAATTTGAGTAAGCTTTTACACTTTCAAAATCTGACCAAATACAGACTTGTACACTCTGTAGCTGATGCACAAGTAGTTGTAAGCCCAATCGACTTCAAAAAAATAACTGAAGAGGTAAAACTAGATCCTGAAACTCAAATTTGCAACCAGTTCCCTTACGAATCAGTACTAGTCATAAAGAACTGCCTCAATGACTGCTTGGAGAAAGTCTATGGAAGATGCCAGTATTTCCAAGAGACTTATTATTCTTGGACTCATCTCCCAGCCTTCATTGGAAGGTTCATGGAAAGGGACGAGAAAGATCAAGATAACACATGGATCTGTAAACCTCTGAATAACGCGAGAAGTTCTGGTCACATCATTAGTAACAACCTTGACTGAATCATCAGACATATCGAGACTGAGCCAAGAATCATTCAGAAATATATCACTGATCCCTTCTTGATCAATGGCAAAAAGATTGATATCAGATTCTGGATCGTAGTCAGGTCATTCAGCCCTCTTGAAATTTATATCCACGATTATACTTACGCTAGAATAGCAACAAATGACTATGATGATTCTGAAATCAGTCATATGGACTGGACAAAGCAATTTGGCCTATCTGATAGGGAAGCAGGAGAATACAATGAAGGCCCTCGTAAAGAAGAAGTAGTTGAATCCCTTAATGCATATGAAGCAGATGGCTACGAGAAATTTAGGCTTAAGGTTCATTCTCTTGTGAAAAAAGTATTCAGGGCTGCTGTTCTTTACAAACCAGAAATCCATAATCCTAACTGTCGTGCTCTTTATGGTATTGATATCCTCCCTACTTCAACACTGGAACCCTATATTTTAGAAGTAACCTTCATGCCTGAGCTAACTCATGTTTGCAAAGTGCAAGAAAAGTACCTATCTCAGATCAATAGATGTATGTTCCTTGGAGAAAGTGATGGAATGACCAGGCTTTATTAGCTTAAAATATATTCAACCAGCCCAGTCGAGGAAGGGGTTTTGGGGTTTTGGGGTTTTGGGGTTTTGGGGTTTTGGGGTTTTGGGG